CTTAGGCCATAGGTTTGAATTTTTCACCATCTTTGACATTCTCCTGATTTTAGCCCAATTTTCCAATTATCTCATTAAACAAAGATTCTGGGATACTGTGGGAAAACAGATGCATTCATTTATTTCATTTATTACTAACAGCATAGCACGCTCTTTGAGTATAATCTTTGGATGAAATAACTTAGCTCTTTTTTTTTCTTTCAATACTAAGGACTGAAAACAGGGTTCATGCATGGTAGGCTAGTGCTGTACCACTGAGCTATATACTAGTCCTTTTTAAAATTTTATTTTGAAACAGGGTCTTAATAAGCTTCCCTGACTGGCCCAAGCTCACTATGTATCCCAGGTAGGTCTTAAACTTCCAATCCTCCTGCCTCAGCCTCCTGAATAGCTGGGATTACAGCTGTGTGCCACCGTACCTGGCTTACCCTGGCACCCTTAACAATTAAAAACAATCTGCCTTTTGGTTTGGTCATCCTGCTTTGTAGGAATAAAATCATATCTTAAAGGAAATAATTAAAAAGGAAAAGATCAGTTTATATAAAAAATGGATTTAGATTACACTAAGAAATGAACCAAAATTTGTAGAATGTTTGCAAAACAGAACAAAGCAAAACAGTGGGAAATGATAAGTAGAACAGATAGCAATGAAGAAAGTTACATAAAAAGTGAACAAAAGCAAAATAAAAATGGATATTAATTCCAATGTATAGGCACAAGAAGAAAGGTAAAATGGTCTTTTGTAAATTTTTATTGTTTGGAGTGTTTCTGCTCCCCTGGAATCATTGATTACACGACAGTAAGGATGACAGTGCCCAAGAGGTGAGCATAGTTACGGCATAGCATTGTTGGAGGAAGTAGAAGGAGAAAGGTCAAGGTAGATCTGAGCTAGACCCCACGTGGCCTTGTACATGCTCTGTCTGGCAGATCAGCGTTCCAGTCACCATCTGATGAACTTTACAACAAAGCTCACAAATTACCAAAAAGCTGTAAAGCCATCATTTCCAGTGATCTGTGTATTACTCACCCATTGACACAGCTCAAAGTAGTTGATATGTTTGGAACCCAACAACAGAAAGTTGATCAGTTAAAACCCCAAATGTTTTTTGTTCAACAACCCAAACCACAATTTTGGGAGTATTTTTTTGTTTTGTTTGGGAGGAGGAGAGAGACAGCTTCTTGCTGTGTAAGCCAGGCTGACCTCAAACTGCCATGTGCTGGGATTACAGTCACGCACCAACATGCCTGGCTTGTTTGACTAATTGTTAATCTTGACACATAAGACTTTCACATTTATTTTTGCTGATTTTTTTATTGGGCCCAAAAATTTGAGACAAATTTAGCGTACTCAGTGAGTTTATCATTATTTAAGATAGTCTCTATATTATCTTAAATTGTGATAATATTATAAAAGTAGCTAAATGACTATTTACTGTGGACCAAGATCTGTGCTAAATGCTATGTCTCATTTTATCCTTCAAACAGACCTACAAAATGTGTATTATGATATCATTCCTGCCAAAGATCATTTAGTTAACAAGTATCAGATCTAGAACTGAATCCAAGGTTATGTTGGATGCCAAATTCCATGTTCTTAGCCACAATAATGGGCCATTTCTGAGGATTTTTTCTAGTTTTATCCCAGGCACTAAAGAACCCAGACTAACAACAAATCCCCAAGACAATTCACTGCACAGTTTCTTCTAAGAAAACATGGAACCACTGATTCACCTCATTGAATATTGTGATTCATCTAATTGTCAGTTCACTTAGAAAATTATCCTCCGCAACTTTCACTGTTTTATTCACAAGAATATGATGAATGACTATTCAATTGCAGAACTGAAAAATGAAATGCTCATGACATTCTCTTTATCTCCTGGCACCTGAATTTCACACCAGATTGATCTTTTCCTTTGTAAGAAGTCTGTTCATCTACATTATTATCCCCCTTGTGACATTATCCACCACACCATGGCTAGAATGACTTAAACTCAAGCTCATTGCAAGCCCCATCCCCATTTCAGATACTTCAGAGGCCTGTCATCTTCTATGGGGGTGTTCTAATGTCAGTTCCAGAACCCCTAAAGGTATAAAAAAATCTATAATTCTACTTCAAATTATATAAATATTGTACAGACACATACTTTGCTCTGAAAAGTATTCACAGATTTGTATAAGATTATCACAAGGGAACTATGACTTCAGTGCCTATACGTCACTTACAAAGTAAAGATAAATTTTACCAAATATTTATTCAAAACTCTTCACCACCGAATTCCTACCCAGTCAAGTCTCATCGACTTCCATGTCTTACCCTCCAACACCTACCTCACCCACCTACACAGACAAACAACACATTGCTTGTGGCTTTTCAAAATGTCATATGTCAGCTCAGCCCCACACATGTATTTTCTGGACTTTATTCCTCCTCCCCCGTGAGAGCCTATTCATCTATTCTTCCTCAAACCTCAACTCCAAAATCATCTCAATAAAACCTTCCCTGACCTAGTCAAGTGGCAGTAAGAGCTTTCTTAGGGCTTTGCTCATACCATCCTTTTAAACATCTGTCAAATTACTCTAATTATTTTATTGTAAATTTTTCTAGCCCCTCAACAGACCCCAAGTTCTACTCGCATGGTGACCAGGATCCTACTTCTAATGGTAACAGCAGCCTTCTCACGACTCTAGCCCAGTTTTAACCATCAACTAGGAAAGCCATTCTCCTCTAACACCTGTTAGTCACTCAATAAATACGTTGACTATTGAGTCCACAAATAAACTAAGCAATACCATTACAAAATAATGGCCTATTTTTATTGCACCTTCATTATTTATAAATGTACATATGCTTTACCTTTCTGAGAATCAACAAGGAATAATTTCAGCATGAATTTAACGAAAGATCAGTGTGCTCTTGGTTGTGTTTTAAGGAATATGGAGAGGTACCATAAGGAAAAAGCTTAGGCCATAGTTACTTCCTTTTAAAAGTTTACAATGCTATGGGAAGCAAAAAGTTGGACATGCACATAGTGCTGTAGTTATTTGCTTGTCCCCAAGTAAGATAGTCTTCAGAGCCTATATTTTGAATTCATACCAATCTTAAATTTTTTTGTATGCCAGCTGTGCAAGACTGAACAAGTTGTGGAAACTCTTTGAACCTTGGTTCCTGTGTTAGGCAGTTTTCCGTTACTGTGACAAAATTTCTGAGATAATCAGCTTAAAAGCAGGAAAGGTTTACTGTGGCGCACAGTTTCAGAAGTTTCAGTCCATGGTCTCTTGGCCCTGTGCTTTGGGCCTGTGGCACAGTACATCATGGCAGAGGATGTGCTAGAGGAGACCTACGGTGGCCAGAAAGCAAAGAATGAGAGAAGAGACTGAAGTCCCCTTCAAGAGCATGCCCCCAGCCTGGCACCACCTCCTGCAAGTTCCATCATCTCCTCCCCAAGAGTGCCAGAGGTTGATGACCAAGCTTTTCACACGTGGGAAATGGGGAACACTCCAGATCCAAACTATAGCAGTTCCTTCAACTGCCAAATGAAGATAATTCTTACTTCATCATAAAATACATAGCTAAGTATGCAGCAAATAGCAACGATGGAGGTAATACCAAGAGTGAATGTTGTTGGCGTTAATGATGCTAAGATTGGTAATGTTGATGGTGGTGATAAAACCACACTGACCTGTAACTCTTTAGGGACAGGGACCATGTGTGCTTTATCTCTGAAACCTGAGCATCTAAAATAGCACCTAATACTGGGTGGCTAATAAGAAAATGTTTATTAAACTGATGGTCCATTACCAAATCCAAGATATTGAGAGCCAAAAGAAGAGAGAAAAGCAAAGAATTAGCATCAGCTAGAATGGTCAGGAAAAGCTTTTTTGAGGAGGGAGGTATATAAAACGTGAATTTTTCTACATAGCTGGAGATGGCAAAACTTACTAAAAGCAAAAGAAGCTAGTCATAACACCAATGCATGTAGTCTATTCTAGGGGAGGGGAGGAGTAAGCATCTTGGTTTGGTAGAAAGGGGAAGCAGTGACCTTACTTTTTACTTTTTTACTTTACTGTTCAGAACCATCCAGAGAGATTAATAACAAAAGCACCAGTCCTAAGCTTTTTTTTTTTGAAGCTACATGTTACAGCAAAACAATACAATTAAATGTTTCACATAAACAAACCATATGATAAAAATATGAGCCTCACAGGGAGGCAAATCTAGGTTTGAATTTTTATTTTGCTACTTAATAACTATATTCTCTCAGGCAACTGAACTTCAGTTTCCTATTCTATAAAATGGGAGTTATCATGTCTGTCTCACAGGGCCAAGCGGATGCTGAATGAAATAATTTGTGTATAGTTCATATTCCAGTTCCTAGTGCCTAGCAGTAGTCAATAAACATGAGAGTTTAATAGAGTGAATTAGTGGATTTGTGTGCTTGTGTAAGTCAATGTGCACATTTTGGTTGTATGTGTTTATAGACATGAGTTTACTAGATCTAAGAGTAATTGAGCTTTTTGAAATGAAAAATAATCCAGACAAGGACAATGTGTGACATGATACCACTTGTCTGTCTCTTCCAACTAAAGAAATGAAAAATGCTTTGAGTATGACCAATTGACTAGGTTGAATGTTCCAATAGGAAGTGGGAACAAGTTTTTTTATTAATCACCTGCTGCACAAACTGTCATGCAAACACTGCCTCACGCTTAACGCAAAACATTTGAAAACCCCCTGTGACCTGGTTCTCCTGCTTGGATTTTCTTTTCTGTAGTGAAATACATAGTTGAATTAATTTCAAGTGTGTTTGTCTGTAAACTAGCCAAATATTTCCTTTTAAATACTTGAGCTGTATGTTGAATAGACATACAAGTTATGGTTCTTCCCACATTTTTTTAGTAATAGATTATATCCCTTAATCCTTTAATGGACTTTTTGTTCCACATATACTAGATGTGTTGTGTGCCCATAATAAATGGAAGTTTTTTACTTTGTGCAGGTTCTTCCAGGGGACCCAGCCCCCTAACCATGGGAGCCCAAGACACCCTCCCTGTTGCAGCAGCGTTCACAGAAACGGTCAATGCCTACTTCAAAGGAGCAGATCCAAGCAAGTAAGCCTGGGACATGGTACACTATATTCTCCAAACTGTATCCCACCTAGTGGGGGACATCCATCCCTTATTCTAAAACCAAAAAGACTTTGTTGAACAATAATAGGTGGCACACTTATAATAGAGCTTAAAATTTAATATTAAATTGTAATGAAGTAAGTAATATTAAATTGTAATAAGTAATAGTAAAGTGTAAATAAGTAATAAATAGTTGACTCTTTTTTTAAAGGTCCCAAAAGATAAAATAATCTCTTACTATCTAAAAATCTGAGGTTCAGTTTTGATTACAAGTAACAGCAAACCCTAATCTAATTCTATCAGCTATGAGAAAATTCACTGTCTTTCAAAAGTGATGTCCAGATCATGTCTTTCAATGTCTTATTTTTCCTGGATGGGAATCACCCACACGTGTTTCCATGTTCCCATGATGGAAACAGTGGATCATTGGAATGATAACATGGAAAGAATTAAAAAAAAAAACAAACTTCCCAAAAGACCCAGAGTAGCAAGGCAACAAATTGCATTTTCCTTACTAAGAAGAAAGAACTAGCCAAAAAGAAAGGAAAAAAATTAAAATCACAGCAAGTAAAAATCATAGGAAAAATACACCACACTCTGTTTACATGAGCCTGATTTCACTAGTATCACTACATACTGACAATGAACTTGACCTGAATGCATTTGTGATATAATCGAATGTTTTATGTCTTGATAAGGAGTTACATGGATAGGATTCAGAAAGTCTATAGATTGCCTGAAGTGATACTGTGTATCTTATGTGTGCATTTTTCCATAGAGAGAGACTATGGTATTTATCATTTCAACAAAGGGCTTATGATCCAAAAAACATTTAGAGTGATTATTGGTCTACACTGAAAACAAATACCTAAGTCAAACCGGTTTTTAAATGCGGCATTAATATAATTCTAGATCTGAATTGATTGGTAAACCAGAGGAAGCCTAAGTGAGAGAACAATTGCTCCTAGGTTTTATAACTTACAAAGACTAGGGCTTGGAAAATGTTACTGGGTGTGAGGAGATGAATGAGAGAATAAACTTAAATGTGCATATGAACTATCATAAAATTTTTGAAACAGTGATAATTAGGTACAATTAGAACTTAGATCAACACACATGTTGTGTGAATTTGTATGACTAAGTGTGGATCCTCTCCACGCTTCAGAAGCACTAGTTGGTTTTTTTTTTTCAGTCTAACTCTTGACAATATTATACTGGAAAAAACAATGTAGGTACCCTACCCAGATTGACGTCTCAATCTTCCTAAATGCCACATCTCTTTCAACAATGTCTAGGGTTTATTCCAGGTCCAGGATATTAGAGAAAAACAAACGCTGTGGACTCTGGTTTCTCCCAAGTCATTTCTCTTACATCTTCAAAGTACTAAGGCCATGTACCACTCCACATAGCAACGGAAGTTAAAAGTTACCTCATACAGAGCCTGTGTGTGAACTGTTAAAGCAAGTAAACACCACACCACAAACTTAAGATATACATATGGATAGAGATACAGATACATACAGAGAGAGAAAGAGAGAGAGAGAGAGAGAGACTTTCTTTTTGTTGTTGTTTGAGGTTGCTGAGACAGGGTCTATATAGCCCAGGTTGGCCTGGAGCTCACAGTCTTCCTACCGTAATCCTCCTGATTGCTGAGATTATAGACGTGTACCACCACGCCCAGTTACATACCTTCTACATCCATGCTGGTTCTACAGAATCTTCTTTATACAAAGAATTTGTATAACCATCTGTCATACCAGTTCTAAGGACTACTTATCACTAACTGACCTATACCTCAGAAAACTCAGGCTTGCTTAAGACAGTCAAACATACTTTAAAAAAAAAAGAAATAGTTAAAAGTGGGGAGAAAATGCATATTCTAGAGTGCAAAACATTGGGGAAAAGCAAGAATAAATTCTTTTTGGTCAGCTTCCCCATTCTTGACTGGAAGTTCCCTGTGGACCTATCAAAATTCAAGCTGGGTTTTTCATCCTGGCTTAGTTTCTAACAGGTCTATGAAGGAGTATGTACCATGACCTTGGCATTCCAATGATGTAGCACTTGAGCGTAATTTAATATTAGTGCTTTTCCTAATCTTCCAAATTAACTGAGCCTTTGACCATGGATATGGAGATATATATATATATAAATACACTATATATATGTATAGTGTACTATCCTTCCTTTTCTATTTATTTATTTTTTATTCATTTCTCAATTTCAACTGCAAGTTTGCACAAGGACATGTTTTCTCTATTTGTCACTGCCAATTCTTGTGCATCGATATAAGGCCTGGTGTATCGCACAGGCATCATATGCATAATCATTAAGTATATAAATTTATTTTATAACATTTTGCTGAATTCCTACTCTGTCCTGTGTTCTGTAATGGGCACCTCTGCCTTCCTGGAACCTAACACATGACTTGCCTTCACAATAGTAGACAAGATGTGTTAGAAAAAGTTTTCTGAAAAAGTTCTGAACCTGTGTCCAGGGAAGCCTACAGAAAGGAAAACCCAGGGAGGCTGAATGAAGAGTATAGAGAGGAAGACTTTCAGAAGCGACTTCCCTTGAGCAGAGTCTTGTAATATGAAAAGGATTTTGGCTAGTACATAAGCCAATTAAAGGAGATTATAAATAAGACAAGGTATATGTGCACCGAATATTCTAAAAGAAAGAGCTGTGGGCATAGCTATCACTGCAGTGTATAGAAGTCATACTTTATGGGAGAGATGCATTTCTGGTGACCTCACAGAATTCAACTTCATGCATTTCCTGACCCAAACTAGCCAGCATTTCTGTTGATGAGCTAGTGAACATGGTGATGTAGAATAAAATTTTCAATTTCCATAATTCAAACTCACATGAAAGTAGACATCTGCATACTTACAAGAGCAATCATTAGGGTCAAAAAAGATTTTCCTTTAGTGACTATAGAAAATATTAAACTTTTAAATGGAAATTTTCATATCCATTTAGCAACTGAGTGGATTAATAAGTCAACAAAGGTCTGACTCTGACAGTGGAGTTGCAGAAAAATAATTGAGGAGCCTCAGGGTTTTTGTTTTGGACTATATGACCACTTCTCCCATCCTCTACTCAACACTGGAAGCCCTTTGAAGGCAGGAGATATTTTGCTCATTTTTTTTAATTGCTTCCTGCTCTAAAAATACTGCAGTTAGGAGTAAATAAATGTTTTTTGGCTCAATAAATGTCACATCCTCTCCTTTCTGATTTGCTTTCAAAGAGTAACAAACTTTATCCCCTATCAACACACCTCTCAGGTCTCATTTTGAGCAACCTGAAAAGGAAAGTGAGAAGATTCCCTACCAATTAAAAAAACACTTGGGCCACCACTGCTAACAGCAATATTCTAAGTGATAGTAGTCACTGAAATCTAAGTTAACAAGTGATCCAGAGCTGCCAAATAATATTCCACATGTTCAGATACTGAAAACATCAAGAGTAGACTCAGCACGAGAGAAATTCTAGGCCCAACACCAGGTCAGCACCAGTGATCAAACAAGGTTAATGTGTCTAAAAGGCAAAGCTAGAAGTCAACAGTTTGACCCAAACTGAGACATTAGCAATATTCTCCACAAGAGATGGAAATAGAAACTTCCAGAAATCAACATTCTCATTGAGAACAGTGCAAAGCTATAGATATACCATCCAAGTGAGGGAGAGACACTTGGCAATTTTAGGAAACTCACCTTTCCCTCACCTCTACCCTAAACCTCAGCCTCATTGATTTTAAACACAGTATTCCCTCATACGGGGTGAGATGCTTGTTCCAAGACCCTCACAGATACCAAAACCTACAGATGTTCAGGTCCCTTATATTAAACATCATAGTGTTTGCATATAACACACACACATCCTCATGTACACTTTAAACGACTCTAGATCACTTCTAATACCTGATATAATGCACATGCTATATAAACATTCATGAATAATGACAAGAAAAAGAAGTCTGCACATGTTCAGTGCAGTCATAATTTTTTTCCAAATATTTTCCATCTGTGGTTGGCTAAATCAGTGTATGCTAAAGGCTGACTATATTGTTTTCCAAAGAAAAATAAGCCTTTGCAAGGTCTGCTTCTAGCCAAAGTGGAGTATCAGACCAATTTACCCTCCCACCTATAACAGCTCAGAAATGGGCAAAAAATGGAACAATGATTTACAAAACACTGGACCTCAGGTGAAGGACAGTGATCCCTGAGTGATGAGTGAGGTGTTCCACGTGACTACTCCAGCTTACTGCCTCGCATTCCTGTATTGGTATAGCCTGGGCTCTGCACACCCCTGCTGTTCTTGGGGAGGTGTCTCACTGAGGCACTCCTCTGTGACACTGCTGATAGAAGAGTCAGAGGAAGCTAATAACTGGTGGGTGCTGCTGGCCACCATGCACTGCAGAGCAGCAGTGGGGAAGATGCACAGATAGCAGGACCCTGGAACTAAAACCCACCAGCTCTGTAGGGTCAGGTCACTGGGGCAGCCCAGCCACTTGTACTACACAAATACAGGGAAGCTGCTTTTGCTACTGGGCACTGGCAAAGCCACATGAATTGCAAAACCCACTCTCTGGGGACACCACATGCACTGCAGGAAGCTGGCACTAGAAAAGCCTTGCACATTGCAAGTAGCTGCATAGCAAGCTTGCTGGAAGAGGGAAAATGCCTACTTCCTGCCATGACTCTCTCATGCCCTCTACTGACAAAATTTAGCATGGTGCTTGTTGGTCAAGAAAAAATACAGAGTTCATGATTAATCTCAGAGCAGACAATAAAGAGTGAAATGGAACTGAGAAGCAAAGAATTGCTTTTACACTGAATTGACACAGTGATTCTAAAGGTCATGTGGAAACGCAAATGACCTGCAACAGCCAGAACAACATAGAAAAAGAGAAAGTTGGAAGACTAACTTTACTTGATTTCAGACTATTAAAAAATCTATAGAAGGGCTGGGGTGTAGCTCAGTGGTAGAGAATTTGCCTAGCATATGCGAGGCCTTGGGTTTGATCCCCAGCACCAAAAAAGAAAAAGACAAAAGTAGCTATCGTAATCGAGGCAGAATAGTATTGGTTTAAAGATAGACAAAATAGATCAATGTAGCAGAATAGTTTAATTAATAGAACCACACTTTTATGGCCAACTGAATTTCATCAGAATTGCCAAGGTAATTCAGTGGAGAAAAGAAAGTCATTTCTCCACAAATGGTGCTTAAACAATTAGATATACATATTTACACAAAAAAACTCTTAGATCTATATTTCAAACTGTATACAAAAATTAACTAAGAATGGATCATAAAGCTAAATGTAAACTAAAAATTTTAAAACTTCTAGAAAGCAAGGGGGTGGGGGGAGAGGGAAGGGGTAGAGGATAGGGACAGGGGGGAGAATTGGCCCAAACAATGTATTCACATATGAATAAATGAATAAAGAAAAAAACTTCTAGAAAAAGGATTGGGTGTGTTGACACATGCCTGTAATCCCAGCATTCAGGAGGTTAAGACAGGAAGCTCATGAGTTTGAGGCCAGTCTGGGCTACATAGTGAGACTGCCTCAAAAATCAAAAACAAAACGAAACAAAAAACTTCTTTCTAGAAGAAAATATAGATGAAACTTTCAGGAACTTGGTTTGTCAAAGACTTCTTAGATAGGACTGCAAAAGAATAACTGGATTTAGGTCAAGTGTGGTGGTTCACGCCTGTAATCCCACTACTAAGGAGGTAAAGATTGGGATGATTGCATTTCAAGGCCAGCCTGGGCAAAAAGCTAGAGAGACTACATCTCAACAAACAAACTGAGTATGGTAGTTCATACCTGTCATCCCAGCCAAACAAGGATCTTAGTCTGAGGCTAGCCCAGGGGAAAAAAGTGCAAGACCCTGTCTGAAAAATAACCAAAGCAAAAAGGCTGGGATGTGGCTCAAGTGGTCGAGCACCTGCCTAGCAAGCATAAGGCCCTGAGTTCAAAATCCTAATACCAACCAAAAATCAAAGAGTAACTGGGTTTAATACTGCCCACAAAAAGTAAGTTAATGGATTAAACACTTTTGCTATTCAAAATACTCTTAAGAGAAAGGAAAGAACAAGTCACAGATTGGGTGAGGCAAATCATATATCTAATAAATTATACATACCTGGGATTCAATAAGAGAACAAAATTCTGGATTGAAAAACCTGGCAGAGAATTTGAGCAGATACTTCACCAGAGCAGATAACTGAACAGCAAATAAGCCCAGGTACAGATGCTTAAGATCATTCACCATTATGAAATAGGCAAATTAAAATAATGAGATCCCACTACTCACCAGTGAGAATGGCTAAAATTAATTAGACAAATTCTACCAAGTGTTGGTGAGGATTTGAAAGAGGTAAGACACTTGCACACAGCTGTGTTTCCCACTTTAGAAAACAGGCATTTCTTTAAAAGTTAAAATTGTGCAAACCATGCAATTGAGTGATTCCACTGATACACTTCCAAAAGAAATGAGTGTTTGCATCCATCCACACACCTGTCCACACATACTCATCACAAAAGGCAAATCAAGGAAAGAACCTGAACGCTTTTCTACAGGCGAATGGACTTTTTAAAAGCTGTGGTTATCCGTACACCATACAGCAACAAAAAGGAATGAACTGTTGATGTGCATGGAGGAATCTCAAAATATTTATTAGAGGGAAAAGGCCTAATCCCCCCCACAAAAAAAATGAACATGCCTTATGATTTTGATATGTAAAATTCTAGAAAGTACAAAGTAATGTATCATGATAGAAAAGGTATCAGCAATTGCCTATGGATGGGGAGTGGAAAGTTAGGAGTTTGTAATCCTTTTAAAAAGGATTGCAAAAAAGTAGGAGGAAATGTTAGGGCTATATTTTAGGACAATTTTTTCTTGCTGTATGGTGATGTCACAGCATGCAATCTTAAGGAACTTTACATGACAAGTATCTACAGTTCATTGCATGTTAATTATTCCTCCATAAAGTCTTAAAAAGGATTATTCTTCCTTCCTTCCAAACCATCATCTCATTATTTTAACTTCTATGAATGATTTTACAATTGTGACCAAGTAGACGCATTAATTGGATAAAGAACTAATCATGCAGGAAGTGAGAACTTTAGTGGAGTGGCTAAAGTGGTTAGAGCACCTGCCTAGCAAGCTCGAGGCCCTGAGTTCAAACCCCAGTACCACAAAATAAAAAAAAAAGACTGTTCAGTGTTATAATCTTGTTACGCAAAAAACTAAAATAAGACCCAGTAAAGTGTGATAATAGTATAAAGTTTAGTATCTACAAATGTGTGACCAAAATTCTGAAATCAAAGTAAGAGAATCACAAGAATAAATAGCTCTATTTGTGAGGTCAACCTTTGTGACTTTTCTGCTTATAGTTCACAACACTTAAAAAAATAGGCATTTGGGTTTTTTTTTTACTAGTTTTTATTGAAGAGGGTATCATTTTGTTTCCCAGAACAGCCAGATCCCCTAAAGATAAATTCAGACTTCAAGTTTTTTCAATTACCGCCTATTAAAAAATATTTCCTTATAACTGAGACTTTAAAAAAAATAAATGTTAACCACTAGATTGGATAAATTAGAAATGCTTTAGGAGTTAGGAGTGGTATGGCAAGGTCTTTGTGTCTTTTGGTGTATTGCATTGTTACACAAACCTTTCCTTTTGCACCTGTTCTGATCCACAGCTTGTTGACCTGGGTCTCCTCTCTCTTTCCTCCTGTGTGTTTTGATATGCCAGATGCATCGTTAAGATTACCGGAGAAATGGTGTTATCCTTTCCTGCTGGCATCACCAGACACTTTGCCAACAACCCATCCCCAGCTGCTCTGACTTTCCGGGTGATAAATTTCAGCAGGTTAGAACACGTCCTGCCAAATCCCCAACTACTTTGCTGGTAAGTATGATTTTGCATCAACTTTTAAAGACCTGTGTGGTTTAGCACTTTGTACTTAGATGAGAACTATGCCCCAGTAAGACAGTACCTCTGTAGCTAAATTACCACTACTCAGGTAGGCTATGGGTTAGACACAGAACTTTTAACAACTGTCACAGTCTTCTGTAGGTGACTCTATGTGTATTTGTAGCTGGCCAACTTTGAAAGTGGTTAAAGAGACATTTAATGTAGTCAAATCTGGTGCCAGATATGGTGGTACATGCCTATAATCCCAGCATTCAGGAGGCTGAGGCAGGAGGAAGACAAATTCAAGCTATCTTGGCTGCATAGTGAGATCCTGTCTCAAAAACAAACAACAATAAGAAGAATGAAAAACTTAAGTAATAATATCTACATTAGTGACAATTTCTTCATTGTCAGTTTGACTTATTATCAGTAGACATTGGATGGTGGGCCACCAGCACAATAATAGGGAAATCCTTTTGCTGTGTTAAAATAATATTCAAACTGTGATGAGCATGAATCTCTTTCCCAGGAACATATAATTTCATTATAATGGTAGTTGTTTTAATGGAACCTTACATGTATGTTATCAAAGAAGCTTCTGTGAATTTGTTTCTGTAAATACTCTTTTTCAGATTTTCTATTAAGCCTGAAATTAAGTCTTTATTATGCATATCCATTTATGTAGTCACACATATAAGCTGTACAGTGATCAACTATTCCAAGTTACTTATTTGCAATGGATGAGACAAAAGGAGTCAATTTTGACAGCTTCCTCTCTACCGGGTCCTGATATTCTATCTAAAAAGCTCTCTTTAAAGTGGCTCCTTTTGCATTCACTGCAATCACCCCTGTGCAAGTGACCACTGTCATGCCCCTCCCTATATCACAGCAATTGCATCCCTCCCTACTTTCAATCTTACCCTGCTCTAATACATGTTAACAACCAAATGACCTTTTATGCAGTCCGATCCCTCAGATTGTCTTTGATCACTGTCCTCTAGTAGCTTCACATTGCGCCTATCCCAGAATCTAAACTCATTGCCATTGCCTTCAAGCCCTGGTCGCCTACTGTCCCCTGCCTCTCTGTTCTGTCCTCACAATTGTGTTGGAGTCCTTGTGGCTCCAACCACACCTGCCAATCAGAAACAGGCTAAGACCTTCCCCACATTCAGGCTTTACGTGTTTATTTCCTCTACCTCCAGCCCTATTCCCGCCCTTCCTCACCTGACCCCCACTCACCCTTGAGGTAACTCCACAGGGCCCTCCTGATCATTTCCCTGCCCTCCTTACCCACCAGTCCCAAACTCAATTGTGTTCCCTTGTTAGTTTCCCTAAAGATACCCTATTCACGGTTTAAATTACCTATCTACCTGTTTCTTCATCCGCCCATCCCGCCATGAGACAGTACAATACAGAAGGTATAGGACATATCTGTTGGCTCACCCTATATCCTCATACCTCCCATTGTGCCTGGTGTCTAATAGGGACCTGAGCAACGTGTCCAATCAGTGAGTGACTCCCTAATCATTTAAAGAAGTTAGTCAAGCCAGCTGTTTATGTAATAATAACTATAGGTTGTTGGTATTTGGAGTTTGGGACCAGCACAGACACTTAGTTTCTTGACTGACTTAGGCTTTTAAATCCAGTGGTGAAGAAGCATTCACAGTTTCTCAGGTGATTGTCAGGATCACTTTTGCCTTTTTTGGCCCTTGCTGTGGCTTAACTGACAAACTTACTCTAAAATTATAAAAGAAATGATCACAGTGATGAAAACTGGAAGTCAGTGAATTCTCACTTCCGTTGCCCTCCATGTTTTTATGCACATGTGGAGTCAGTATTTTTCAAGGTTCTTTCTCCAGAAGTTAGGAGTTTCATCCCAACATCTCATCAGTGGTTTGTAAATGTGATTGGTGTGATGGCTATAGATTTGTTGTGTTTTTAGGCAGCTACAGACGTCCATGAAAAAGTGGCATACATATTTTAATAATCAGTCATATGAGTTGAATCAAGTATCACTCAAAATGTTTCTGCTTCACAAAACATAATATAGATACTTAAATTATTATTTGCTTTAAAAAAGTAAAAGTTTTTCAAATGTCTTATCTTTTGGACCTTATTAATTCTAAATACATGATATATTGTTACAGGATTGTGATAGGTGACCCTGTAATCATATAGAGCCCGTTGGTTTTGCTATTCAGTACCACTCTACCATCACAATTATTTCCCGTAGCCTTTAAAGGCAATGGTGACTATGTAGTTTTCTTGATTGCAGTAGAAATCTTTTGGTATCTGTCATCTTACAGCCAGCAATTCTCTCCCTTCTGTTTACTAAAAGCTTTCATTTAGGTTAACAGTGGCCCCTGAAGGCACATAAATATGCAACCCCTGTGGGGAGGGTCCAACTGAAGTTTACTTGCACTTCTCTTTTATGAAAGGAGTTTTCTCATAAAAGTATCCTGGAACAACTGCTAATCAAAGTAGAAGACTGAAGAAATCTTGAGACTTCTTGAGGATTTAAGAATTCTATCTGTGTAGGCATTTAATTATTTTATTGGCAACACTTTCTGGAATGTTTATTAAACGAAGTTCTCAGAAATCGTCATAGACATATGACTTAGTTTATTTTTTATTAAACTGACCAAATGCAGTTTTATTTTTTTAAAAACCATAATTAAGATTTTTACAATAGTTAGATCTACTTAGTATAAATTAATAGCATGTTTCTCGCTATTAATTCTGAACCTCTATTTTGGTCTAGTGGGAAGGTGTAACCTGTGAGACCAACTGGAGCTAGAATCCTGACTCTGTTACTTATTAGTAGTATAATCTTAAGCAAATTACTGAATTATACTGACTTTCTGTTCCTCATAACAGAAACCTCCTTGTGTAATGACAGCTCTGGTTCTTATGGGAACTTAGAAACTTTTAAATAAAAAAAAAAATGTTTGGACAGACCTGATTAGCATCCTTAGATCAGCTTGCCCAAGGGCAAAGGATCAAGGACTAGAATTCTTTTCTATCCTCTTCTGTAACTGGAGAGCACCTCATTACCCAATACCTGGTTTCCATGGTTCTTGAATGTGTCAATGAAAAGAATTTCAAGATGACTCACAAAGTAGAAAAGGTAGTCACAGATTTTACTAGGGAGTAAAATCAAGCAGCGTGTGGTGGAAGGAAAGGGAACTGCAAACACACACCAAGAGCTGGGAGTGTGGGCTCTACAGATGCAACCTGTGGTTCTTTCTTTGGGGCTATTCACATTCATTAATAGGTTCTTCCAGGTAAGTGGTTTCTTTGTGTTAAGCACCTGGCAACTTTTAATCATTTTGCAGTTGCAAGGTTTTGACATTGTCTCCCAAGCATGGAGGCATCAGGTATGCATTGATCTTACCAATCAAAAGGTCTTGTGACATGGATGCCTGCTTCTTATAACTTTTATGGGCATTGTTCTGATCAAGAGAATTGCTGCACCAGGCATTCTTAACTTCAGGCACATCTTACTCACATGGAACTGTTGTGTGTGGGGAGTCTGTGATCAGAGACTTCCAAATTCTTTGTGTCCTGTGGGGAAGAATCCACAGCAGGACATGTGGATGTAAATGGAGTTTATTAAAAGTTAGGGAAGGGAAAAATACAAAAGGGCACATGGTGGGGTACAGATGGAATCTGGAGGCAGAGAGAGCCTGCTTCTCTTCTCCAAGTGTTTTTAAAACTTACGCTAACTTATGGGGAAGAAGGAACCAGGTGTTTCCCATCCAGTAATCAATGAGTGGAGAAGGGCACGGGTGGTTTGAGGCCAGATGAGGGTGGTCACTGAGCCAAAGCATGGTTAATCTGAAATGTAATATCTTTCTATAAGTCTCAAACTTTCCCTGATCCTAGCCTGCCTCAGGATAAGGTCAGAGAAATTGTAAAGGAATTGTTTCTCTACCATGTATTATAACTTAATGGATAAGAGTATGCAGGAAGGAATACATGCATGTGCTTTCTTAAAATATTATTTAGTACAACATTTAATCTTGTAGTCATAGCAATTTTGTAGTTCTATTTCCTGCTTCTGAATTGCTTTGATTCCCCTGCTAACTGTCCTTATCCCAGCCTGTCTCCTTCCTCTGTTCTTAGGGTCAAAAAGCTTTGCTTTGTCCTCAGTCACCTCAGACCCATGCACAGCAGAACCACTGGGGTCACACTGAGACTTGGTCTCCTCCCCCTTAAAAGACCAAGTATAGTTTTAAGATTTTTTTTGTGACTCGGCTTTCTTGATTTGTTTGCCTTCTGGAGGCTGAATCATAGCGACTCACTTTTGCCCTCCCTTGATCACTTTTTCACTTTATCATCCTCTTCTTAACGACTAATTTTCTTTCTATAAGTTTACTGTTCTTTTAAAATAAGGTAATAATTGTACCGTCTGCAGTACATACTTTAATGAAAAAGTTTAAAATTAATCTAGCAGAGGGCTTAGCAAAGGGAATTCTGTAAGTGAAGTGTCAGTGAACAAGTTGCATGTCAAGTTACTGAATCATTGGGGCCTCGGTTTCCTCATTAGGTGGCAAGTGAATAAATGCTGTGTGCATTCTTGCTTGTTCCTTCTTATTACCAAGACAATTTGCAGAATAGATTGGGCAAGTGTTCTGTGGGCAAGCCTGGGAGGAAAGCTAAGGACTCTTACAGGAATACCTAACTCCTTAGTTGGTGAACACTGCTTTCTGCTTTTCTGTTTAACTACCATGATTACAATCATTTAAACTCCAGGACGGTCTTGTATGTGAAGTGATTTTTTTATGATTAAGATGCTCTTAGATGAAATCTTGTGAATGCTGAAAAAGTAGCATGGTCATCTCTCCTTTGTTGGTAATCGGCCATGTTTCATTTGTCCAAATCTTACATTGTTGGTTTTGCTTTTTTGTTTTGTTTTGTTTTGTTTTGCTTGAGACAAGGTCTCAGCATACAGTCTAGACTGTTCTCAAACTCATGATTGTCCTGCCTTAGTCTCATGAGGGCTGGGATTACAATGGGCACCACCATGTCCAGTTTGGTTAAATCTTTAACTGGATAATATTTGAAAACTACTGGTCCTGTCAATTCAAAAGAAAATCAATTTACTCAGCTCCTTCATTGCATTAACTCACTAACTTAGACAAAGCTGAAGTGATATAGAAAGGGCTATCAAGTTTGGGTTAAGAAATAATTCACTCTTTAAGCAACCAATTATCGTCATGGTTGGTTAATATTACTGGGTACTCACTGAGATTTATGGCAATACAACAGCTCTTATAGGTATTAATCTATTTACCTAGCACCACCCAGAATTTATTCAAAACACAATATAGTGAATGGTATAATTTATGAATTATTAAAGATAGATATAGAAGTCTGAGGACAATTTGCTAAGATGCTTCTTGTGTACATGATGCTTGTTATAAGATGCTACTCAATCATTTTTTTTCTTTCCAATTAAACAGTGATAATACACAAAGTGATGCCAATACTAGGGAATTCTGGGTAAACATGCCCAATCTGATGACTCACCTAAAGAAAGTGTCTGAACAAAAACCCCAAGCTACATATTACAATGTGGACATGCTCAAGTACCAGGTAAGCCTAATTGCCTGACAAGGCATCTCTTCCACAGTGCACATTTCTGTTCTAAAGCACCTAATGTTACATACAAGTGAGTAAAGTGGCATTTCTTTTAATATTGGAAAGCTGTAAGAAAATGGACACCTTAATGGACTAGTTGTGGACTAGTGACATGAATATTCATGCATAGCTTTAGTTTAAACTTGCAAGCAAAATGTTTTAGTAAAAAATTACCCATATATCACAAAACTAAAATTGTTAGTGAAGTACTGACAGATTAGCTCACTATAATTTTAAAAGCATTACAACTCTAAAACTTATTTTTTTAGTGACTAAAGGTAAAAAATATGGATTTTATTCTTTTTCTGTGATAGTCCTATAAAGAATAAGCTTTAGGCTGGACCTCCAAGAGTATTTTCTGGAACACTCAGAACTAGACTACCAGGGAGGTGCTGTCTCTGCCACAGCCTTGGGAAGGAGAGAAATTAGAAGGCCACCAGTGAAATCATTGAACTGGGGAGCCCAAAAAGCTCAGTATCAAAAAGATGCTTGATACAAAGCACAACTGTTCATAAGAATGTTCTTTTTGTGTCAAGGATTGCATTTACCCAAAATTATTGCCTATCTAATAAATAAGCCTATTTCAAACAAGGTTTTGTAGTACCTGAGTAGCCCATTAACTCTCATTTAGCTGATCTAAATGACCTCCAACACGTGAATTTTGCAATTAAATACTTTGATTGTTTTTCTTAAGATGAGGAAAGTTGTAGCTGAATTAGTTCATCTGAAGCATGACTACACTTGTCAATCACCAGAGAACTTGTAAAGAAATGCTGGTCCTGAATGGGTGCCAATAAAAGATATAAATACCCAGTTCTCCCACATGGGACCTCAATTTCATGGTGCTTTCACTGAGAGCTCGTTTGTGAGCTGCACGAACAATATTGTGACATTTTGATATCTAAGATGGTTCCTGTGGGAGATAATCATAGCTTCTGGTTGTATTTCAGATGAATGGTTGAGCCTTAAATGTTTTCTTTTCTGTCCTTTGGTAAGGTGTCTGCCCAGGGCATTCAGTCCACACCTCTGAACCTGGCAGTGAACTGGCGATGTGAGCCTGCAAGCACTGACCTGCGCGTAGACTACAAGTACAACACAGACGCAATGACCACTGCTGTGGCTCTCAACAACGTACAGTTCCTGGTTCCCATAGATGGAGGAGTAACTAAGCTCCAGGCTGTGCTCCCCCCAGCAGTCTGGTAAGAAGTTGCTGGTCCCCTTTCTCCCACCAAAGGCTCCTTCTGGAGAAAGGGACTGCAGATTTCTCACCATGATGTTTCCTGAAGGAGGAGGACACAGCGGGCTGTGTGTGAGGAGGAATTGGGCTAGGAAACAGAACTGCTATAGCTATTTTAAGCAGAAAATGCTGTATTTTTAACTCATAGTTTTATTTTTAATCTCAATCCACATGCAGTTTAATTTGATGTATGTCTAATAAGTGAATGAGACTCAAGAGAAGGAGAGGGCCCAAGTCACCAGGTGGTTTCACAGGGTTGATCGGAGGGGAATGGGGAGTACTTTCACGGGAGAAAGCCTTACAAACTAAGCCAGAGAGCTGAGTTAATAATGGGCTGTCCAAATGAACCCCTGCCAATGAACAGGAGTTGACATATGACAGGTGAGAAACCACAAAAGGCAACGCATCCCTAGATGTGAGTGAGCCATCACTGAGTCCAACGGACAGAATTGGGGTGCACAACACTAACGTGGAACAGAGGGAACCCACAGAGCAGTGAGATGGGCCAGTGTTGCTCCGGCGTGCACCACAATGGCCATACAGTGAGGCTCAGAAACACATTTGTTGTGCTAACGAACATGTTTCTGTAACGGGAGTCAGCTCCTTGCAGAGGAAACCTCTGGACATCATGGAGACAGCAAGAAGTCTCCAGCTGCCACATCATCACATGAGCCCTTTCAACTCCATTTTAGGGAGATTAAAAATGAGCACCCACACCCAAGGTCCTTTTATGTCCCCAGAACCCAACTGGCTGCGTGTGTCTTGGACACCCGAATAGCACTCAGAGCCTACTGCCATCTGCAGTGTCTCAACACCCACCAGCTGGCTCTAAGGACAGTGCTGCCAGCATAGTGTGTTCCCTCTATATCTCTCTGAACATCTTAACTACCCATCACACAGCCCGACTGGGCAGTCCACATTTATTCCTTATGTGTAAACCGCTATTTTTATTAATAGTCTACTTACAGATTTGCATAGATTTGGAGTGATCTAACCCATGTCCCCACCAGCCCTATTATTCTTACTGCTTCATTTGGCCAACCACACGATTTTCCAGGAATGCATAAGTGTCTGTGACACTCTGTTTCATGTCTTCTTGGTCATTCTGACCATTGTTTTGGATGACAATTCCACACAGGTTTTATCTGCATCCTGTGGCCCTGTCTCACCCAAAGTGTGCACTGCCTGTCTCCCCTGAGTCCCGCAGGGTTCTCTGATACGGTGGTGTGGCACCTGTAGCATACAGGAGCACAGTTTTAATCAGAGTGCTTTAACATGGGGATTTCAATGTTTACACAATGGCGGCATTGCTAGAGGAGAAGGCTTTAGGCTGCATCTCCAAGATTATTTTCCAGAACACTCAGAACTGGCCCACCAAGGAGGTGCTGTCTCTGCCACAGCCTTGGGAGGGAGAGAAATTAGAAGGCCACCAGTGGAATTGTTGAGTTGGGGAGCCCACTGTCCGCCTGATCCAAGGATCAGAACTCTCTTGTTGGCACCTCCATTTTTTTTTAATTCATTTATTCACACGTGCATACATTGTTTGGGCCATTTCTCCCCCTTGCCCCACCCCCCCACTCCCTCTCTCTCCTCCCCCCACCTTTCTCCAGTTCTGTTGAAGAGAAGACATAAGCAATAATAAGAAAGACATAACATTTTTGCTAGTTGAGATAAGGATAGCTGTACAGAGAAATTCCTAGCATTGCTTCCATGCACAAGTGTATTACAACTCAAACTGATTCATCTCTACCTGACCTCTTCACTACTTCCTGGTCACCTTCCCCTATTGACCTCTGTCATTTTAAGGTTACTGTATTAGTTCCTCTGCAGTGGGGACATCAAACACTTTCAAGTTTTGGGTTTTCTACCTATCCCCATACCTCCCCTATGTGCTCTCCCCTTAGCGTGTGATCCAAGTCCAACCACATTGCTGCATTTGCCCTAGATCTAAAGTCCACATATGAGGGAGAACATATGATTTTTGGTCTTCTGAGCCTGGCTAATCTAGCTCAGGATGATGTTCTCCAGTTCATCCATTTACTTGCGAATGATAAGATTTCATTCTTCTTTATGGCTGCAAAAAATTCCATTGTGTATAAGTACCACATTTTCTTGATCCATTCTTCAGTAGTGGGGCATCTGGGCTGTTTCCATAACTTGGCTATTGTGAATAGCACTGCAAGAGGTGTGCAGGTGCCTCTGGAGTAACCTGAGTCGCATTCCTTTGGGTATATCCCCAAGAGTGGTATTGCCGGATCATATGGCAGATCTGTTTAGATTTTTAAGAAGCCTCCATATTGTTTTCCAGAGTGGTTGCACTAGCTTGCATTCCCACCAGCAGTGTACGAGGGTTCTTTTTTTCCCCACGTCCTCACCAACACTTGTTGTTGGTAATGTTTTTGATGATAGCTATTCTAACAGGGGTGAGGTGGAATCTTAGTGTGGTTTTGATTTGCATTTCCTTTATGACCGGAGATGGTGAGCATTTTTTTGGCCATTTGAATTTCTTCTTTTGAGAAAGTTCTGTTTAGTTCACTTGCCCATTTCTTTATTGGTTCATTGATCTTGGGAGAGAATAGTTTTTTGAGTTCCCTGTATTTTCTGGTTATCAGTCCTTTGTCCGATGTATAGCTGGCAAATATTTTGTCCCACTCTGTGTGTTGTCTCTTCAGTTTAGAGACCATTTCTTTTGTTGTTGGCACCTCCTTAACTGGTTCTCAATGCCTACAAAGCTGGGAACAACACTAGACCCAAGTCTGGGGGCATCTTTATTTGAAGATCTTCCCTACCCCATCTCAGATTGCTGGCCAGAGGATGCAGCACGAAGATAGCAGGAGAATGCCCTCTGCCTCCCTTCTGCTTTCCAAATCGCAAACCATGCATATAGTTGTTGGGACCTCATTTGCATCTAGGACCTTAACTGCAAAGAAATCTGGGAAATGTAGTGTTTCATTTTCTAGAATGTGGACTATAAAAAGGTACACTGGCAAAGGTATGGGACTAGAAACTGAAGAGATACTGAGTGCCAATAGCTTCTGACATATTCTAAAATAAACACTCCAGTTCTTCACGTGACTGTCAGTGGCAAAGAATAAAACATTTGTCAAACAATGAATGTCAGCCAGATGATGTCCCCAATTTAAGTTATATGAATTAATTGATCAATATTTCCCATCTGTTCTTTCAGTAGATTTGAAATTCTTCCCAATTTTTTTCTAAATTCTGTATTTTCTGAATGTTTGTCTTATCTTGTAGCTAGTCAGAATAAGGAAAAGGAAAAGGATTTATACATGAATAGGCACATAGATGATAGATACATACACATATACAACTTTTAAATCACAGTCAACTTTTCAAGATTCAGTTTTTGAAAATTAATAGTGTCTGGAAAAACATGGCATCTGTTCAACATAACTCCTTGCACATGGAAAAGTCTTTTATCTATTTTATTTTTAGGAATGCTGAACAACAAAGGATATTGTGGAAGATTCCTGACATATCTCAGAAGTCAGAAAATGGAGGTAAGGTAATCACAGCCTTATTTTATTTAACATGAAAGCTGAAACAACTTGTGGGTGTTAGCCAATGGTGAACCAAAATGCATGTAAGCACTTAGAGCAAACAGAATATATCATTTCATTTTTATATTTAGTTATTTCTCTCTCTCTCCTTTTTTTGGAGGGTGGTACTGGAGTTTGAAATCAGGGCCTTGACCTTGTACTCACTAGGCAGGAGCTCTACTATTTGAGCCACACACCCAGCCCTGCATTTAGTTAGTTCAATCAAAAAAAGCAAATAACTTTTCAATGGATCTTCCTCTTCTTTTTTTTTCTCCTGGTGGGACTGCTGTTTGAACTCAGGGCTTCACACTTGCTAGACAGTTGCTCTACCACTTCAGCCATGCCCCTAGCCCTATTTTGCCTTAATTATTTTTCAGATAGGGTCTCACACCTCTTTCCTGGGACTGGCCTCACATACTGCTCCTCCTACCTATGTCTCCCACATAACTGGGATTACAGGAACGCACCACTCCATCTCACTGCTCTTACTGGTCTCAGACTGTGATCCTTCTGATCTCTGCCTCCCTACTTGGGGAGTAGAATTATAGGCATGTGCAACCACATCCAACCCTTCTTCCCCTTTCCTGCCAAGACCTCACCTCACACAGATCATTCTTAGGGTAGAGAAGAACCTTTAAAGGAGTATCTTTTACCAGATCCCATACTCCCTTAGTAGATACTTTTCACTTTCCTTTGATGTCGACCATAAACTGGAAAAGATGTGGCCTTCCGTGCAGTATGCCCTATATTTTGAAATACCATTTTGTTGAATTCCACTTTTACCAGTATGCAAATAGAATTGCTTATAATATTCAATTATACATTTTATCACTGAAGCATATACTGTTTCCTAATACATCCAATTTTGTAATGTTAACTCTCTAATACATTTTCCAAAATTATATCTAAAATGTGTGTTGACTGTTGTCTAATAATGCTTTTTTAGGTGTGGGTTCTTTATTGGCAAGATTTCAGTTATCTGAAGGCCCAAGCAAACCTTCCCCATTGGTTGTCCAATTCACAAGTGAAGGAAGCACTCTTTCTGGCTGTGACATTGAACTTGTTGGAGCAGGGTATCGATTTTCACTCATCAAGAAAAGGTTTGCTGCAGGTAAGCTTCAGTGGCAAAAATAAGGTTGCCTTAGCTACCCTTCCCCCAAAGGAATAAACTATTATTTTCTATCGTCTTCCTCTTCCTCATGCCCAACCTCCATCCCAATTGTTGAATGGAGTACAACTAGAACAGTGAACTGAAAATCAGAAGTCAGGGAGGCTCTGGCTACTTACCCTGACTCTGTATCTTATGTAGGCTGACCAATGGTTCCCACTACATAGATCTGTATACTGAGGTCAATGGAGTAAGCTCTACTTTTGTTATATTGACAAAAAAGATAAATGCTGCTCACTTTTATATTTGTCTCCACTTGATAACTTTAGGAAAAAGAACATACACAATTTATTATATGACTAAGGCATGGGAGTATCAACTCTGAAAATTTTTCCAACAGGACTTCATAGATTTTAGACTTGTTAGGCTTAGCTGAGATCTAGAAGAATCTAATTTTCAATTTAAGAACAACCTTAAAAAAATCTAAGCCACAAATAGGGTTTGCCCATGAACTGAATGTAGCCACGAGACAGGTTTCATTTGGCAAAAAAATGATAAGATTTTTTATGGAGATGGGGACTCCTTAATGCTAAGATGATACTTGTCAGTGATTGGCTAAGATAAATCCTGTTTTTTGTTTTGATTTGTGGTGCAGGTAACCAAACTCGGGGCCTTGCATATGCTAGGCAAGCACTGTACCACTCAGTTATATAAAGCCTGTGTTCTTAAGCCTACTGAACCAATGTGATTTTTAATGATATCCCTTTCACTCTTAAAAATGACCCACGTTGGAAATAAATTATGAGCACCTTTTCTAAAATAAGTTGGATTCTCCCTTGCAGCAACAAATTGCCCCAATCTATTCTGGGCAAAACTCAAACCTCTGCAAATTGCGTATCTACGGAAGATAATCTAGTTATCTATGGAAGATAAGCTTGTGAAAGGCAACTAGCTGATATAGACAAACAAAAAACTTGAAAACCTTTGTTTATTTTATGTTAGCATTGCACTCTTAAGTATGTATACTTGGCTCCAAGGGGTAGGGCAGAAGGAATAGAAAAGTACCCATGTAAAAATCACATTATCCAACTAGCAGATAACCTGTTGATATGTTGTTTTGTTTTGCAGGAAAATACTTGGCAGATAACTAATAAAATCTTATGCAAGGACTTGGAAGATTCATATAATGGAGAACTGTTAATGAGAAATAGGTTTTAATTCTGGTCTGATGAAAACAAACCAATAACTGTACTTGGGATAGATCAGCTGGAAAGTCATTGGTTTTTCCACCATGATTTCCCTCCCATAGTACCATGGTGACCAGTCCTACAGTATTTACTTCTAGGTGTAATATTGTTAATGGTTTTAAAATGTAATTATTGTATTTGTAAATTGTACTTTCATTCCAGTAAGGCAGTTAGACACTTGAGTTTTAGTATTTTACCGTTCCTGAAACAGATGTAATTTAAATTGTGGTATGTAAATTTAATAGTAGTACTGTTGAATGGCACAATGCTTACAGAGGTAGATTGCATTTTGTCAATATATAAAATTTAAATATAATATTGATAGCTGTCACAAAGGGGGTGCCACATATAAGAAATTTAAATGGAGCCAGAAGGAAAAAAACTTACTTTTCTTCAGTTCTCAGTATGTTTTACTCTAGTGCTAAATAAAAATTCTATCTTCAGATGTTTAGTGGGTTAAATTCAGAAACTATTTCAAAAAAAATTCTAAGGCTAAAGCATATTCACAGAAATGCATTACTTACCACTTTTTAAAAAGCTTTTTTTTCAAACTGCAAATTTCATAAAAATGCAAACTGTGTAAACAGGGCCTCTTATTTTTATAACTTGTGTAAAAAGGGAAAGGAATTCATATTTAAAGTTTAAGTATATTAAATTATAATCAAGAGTAAAGAAGATGTTGAAATCTTAACTAGTTTCCCTTTTCTCTACAGTTTAGCAAGTGTAGAGGACTGCTGAATAATTAATCACACAAAAACCAAAATTGTGATTTTAAGGTTTCAAGAATTTCCATAGTCAAACCGATCAATAACTTTTGCACAATTACTCTGAATAGATGGTCTCTGTTGTCCATCTTGGAGGAATGATACGTGACTTCCTCTTTACCCACAGGAATCAAAACATTGGGAATAAAAATCTTAGGCAAAAAAAAACCTTTTTTGGTTCTCTGTTTAGATCCAAAGGAAGAATTCTAATTGTTATCATTTATGTCATTTGGGAAGGAAGAAGTAAACTTTATAAATGAAATTCTATTCACATTATTGTGCAATACATTTTCTTTTGGTTGACTAAGATTCATTGTATAAAACTGTGAATCATTGCCCTTCTTTGGGAATCAAGAGTCATCAAAGTCACTTCACTGTTGCAAGGTACAATAAACGCTACAATTCCCTGACCTGTATCCATGTCATGGGAATTCAGAGAACTTCGTTAGCAGTCCCAGTTGTAAAACCTTCCCACACTAAAATCTAAAAATATTTGTCTTCCTCTAGGTCATAGAACTTATTTTAAATATAAACCAATTCCTATTTTAGGTTATATTATCAAATAACTAGAATTAAGTCATTATGTGTATCAATTGCTAAATTTCATTTTAGTCACTCAAATTTAACAAAGAATCTTCAACCCCCTTAAATTTTAGAATCAAATTAAATTTTTTAAATCTTACTTTTAAAATGTGATTGTGACTGGGAATTGTTTATAGTGGAACTTTTTAAATTCATATTTGTACTCTTTGATCAATGCTTGCTACCAAGAAAATATTCAAAATTATCTGCTTTGCCTTGCAGACATCTTACTGTTCCAACACTCTCTCAATCAGTTCCCCAAAGCAGCCTGAAGTTTTTTTGAACAAACTAAGTAATATACTCATTTTAAGTAAAGGTATTCAATTTGGTTTTGAAATCAAAATAAGAAAAAAAAGAAACATTTTAAATCCCATGAAATATTGGGAAATTTAGAACACTAAAAACCAATGGCAAGTAAGCAGCAGAAAATTAAGAATCGTCCAGCATATGAACACAAAAATCTTTTTAATTAATTCATGGAAAAACATACTGACTATTAACACAAAGCATATTAAAATGTGTAAATATTACTGGTTCTCATGTCTTTCTCTTTATATTTTATTTTATAGAGATTTAGAATTCGTAATCAAACATAAGGTTTTTCTTTCCAAAGAATAAATTTTGTTGATATTGTTACAAATGTAATTTAAAACATAGCTTTCAACAGTCTCTAACATTATTCAAAAGTTTCTTACTTCACCTTTAGGAACCAGAATGGGAGTCACTGATTTAACATAATTTACTCCTGAGTAGCCAGAACCTCGAAGAGAAAGTATCCCTTCCCCTTTCAGAAAACAGGTCAAACAATAATACCATAAGCTCATATCAGGAAGATCTGGGCTTTTTGTTTTATATTTTAATCTTGTAGGTTATAATCTCCTGTTAAACCTATATCCACAGTACTGTAGAATAAGAATTCAAGTTCTAAACAATGATCTTAGCAATGCAAGAGTCACAGTTATCAAAGACCTATCAGGTCAGTTCCTGTGTCCAAGCAAGATAGGCTAGTTTATACTAAGATGAATTTCAGTACAAGGGTTAATGTAATGAAAGTTTCTAGTTAACCAGAACAGTATTTTCTGAAAAGCTCCACTCTATCAAGATAAAAAGTATGAATGATACTGCTGTATTTTGGCAACATGGAAAGTATGCTTTTCTGTTCAAGTAAATCCCAAATTTTCATGAAATTGTTAAAAATAAATTCTTTTTAATAGTCTGAATCTTATCATAATTGGAATTCTTAATTACTAAGCATTTTTTTTAGTTTTTAAAAATCTATTTGATGCATCTATAGACAAAATGAAAATTCACTGTATAGTATTTGGGAAGAACTTCATCTCTAAAGAAAGAATGTCCACATTTCCAATGGTTTGAGTGAATAGCTGGGAATCCCCAGAAAGGCAAGCTGCAGATGCTCTCTTTACTCAATTTCAATCTGCAAAGTGTGGGATCCATAATTGCACATATTTCCATTTTTAAATCTTTTTTTCAAAGAAGCAGATAAGTATATTAACTCTACCACTAATTCCTGCTGTGTGAACTTGGATAAGTCACTGGCTTCTTCTCATCTTTAGAGTGAGGAGTTGGGACTGCCAATAGTGTTCAAGCTTTCCTTAACAACAGGACATTTTTTTTCTAATAAAATTGCACACAAATTCCTGTTAGGAAAAACATCTCCAAGCAATGAAGGGGCTTCTCAACAGTTTAAAAGCAGTAACAAGACATAAATGAGCTAAAGTGGCTTCTAACCCTGAAGACCAACGATTCTACTCTACTCAGATAAAATGCCTTTGAAGGTTTCATAAGGAAAATTTGTACAGTCACAGTAATCAGCTAACACACAACAAAAATGTATATATACTTGATTGGTTATCATGTTCCAGTCACTATAGATATTAGTTCATTTAATCCTTACTAAAATCCAAAAGTTGTAAGGACTCTTTAATTCCTGTTTTACCAATGATGACATTGAGACTTAGCAAATGAACTGATTCACCCAAAGTGAAAATACACAACCCAGTTATCTCAACTGCGAATGGAGAATTTTGCTCTGTTTTGCTTTGTCCATTCTGGGGGACAATCTGTTTATTTTACTATTCGTACTCAATTTGAGTGCCAAGGTAAAAGACCAGCATTGAAATAAAGACAATTCTAATAAGGAAATTATTGAAAAAAAGTCAACATTTCTCAAAATATGATATGCTGACCACTTGTATACTCACATAAGGGGGATAATTGTTTGAACTAAGTCACCACTATATACTCAGTATATAATAGACATCGATAACTTTTTATTGAATTAGTAAACCTTTAGGAATGGAACTGGGAATATGTATTTTAATAAGCACCCAAAATTTGAGAATTATTGTCTGAGTAGCTCTCTAAGGTCTTTTTTAGTTTTGACATTATATCAGATTTGAAGCACTAATTCTAAGTTGAATGCCATTTTTCTAGTCAGTTTTTGTTTTCAATTTGATCTACTTCCTCCAATCTTAAAAAAGAAAGGAGAGGGAGAAAGAAAGAGAGAAAGACGAGGAGGATTTTCTAGGAAAATCCCTGTCTTTTGGGGGTTTGTAATGCTTTCTCAGTCTTGAGGTAGCTTGAACTGTATTCTCCAGTTTTCACGTTTCTGTCCTTTTCTTCAGTATCTTAAAAGACTTGCCGTACCAGGAAGGTTGTGAGCTGCCACTCGTTCCTAACACAAAGTCCTAGTCAATGTGTCCTTTGCAAGGGAACCCTAGACCTCTCAGCTGTGAGCTGGATTTATTTGATCGTGAGCTTTTGACTTTAGAAGCACAGATTATGCCTCATTCCAAAAGAATTTATACCAATTATTTTTATTTTTACGGGTTTTTTTCAAAATAATGATGGGTTGTCAGTTAAAGTGCAAAGCTATAGTAAAATGTGCAGGTATCTACTAGAGACATGAGTGTGCATGTCTGTGTTTAAGCTTTCTCTTCCCCGAAAGAGTATACATTTGAGCAAAATTCTGTTCGGTCACCTGATTTTTGATCAGCAATTTTAAAAAAAAAAATGAAAGCAGGATTTTTAATAGTATGAAAATGGGGGGTGGTCTGTAAACATAGCTTTATAAGTTAATATAAGTATGATGTTCCCATGAAAAGAAACAAGTGAGTCAAATCATACCGATATGAATGAACAAATGAATCCAAGTGACACTAATTAAAGTCACTATTCTAGGAGCAGCTGCAGTACCCTTCACTGCGTTTCTCTCTTGAGGCTTGATTGTATCTTCCTTCTCCTTTGTGTTCTCGTTCTTCCATTCAGAAAACAGCATCGAAAGCCATTCTCTCAGTCATGAATTAAACACGGCTACTTTTACATTACTTTTTGTCCACAGTATGACCAGGAAAAATGAGATAGGAGTACATTGCTTTGTGTCTCCAACTATTAAAAACAAACAAGAGCAACAAAGAAATACTTGCCTTTCTCCTGTGGTATTGCTTGAATCTCCGGTCATCTTCTGGTTGCTACAGTTGCATTCCTAAAGTCCAATCAAAAGCTAAGTGATCTTAAAGGAATGGCAGATTTTAGGGTCTATTGAGTTAACCATGTCGAGACTTCGTTATTGGCCCTCACACTCAGTGTCTGATTTCTACCCTAAATATGTCTTTGTATAAGAAAAAGGGACCACTTGGACAACATTCACCATGAGTGTAGTAATTTGTTCTGTAGGTTTAACTTCTAAAGGTATTTTTCCTTTAATTTATAGTATTTCTCATTTCCTCCTTCTATCCTTAGAGTAAGTAAATTCTTACCCTTATAAGAAAAGATATTTCAATGAAAAACAAATATATTTTTTAATTCCCTAAATGTTTTAAAGAAAAGAGGTAAAGTATATTTGGACTGAATTCATCTGTATTCCAGTATTTTCCAAATCACTTTTAGATCGCCTAGTTCAGGCAGATGGTCATTGTGATCTGAGAACAAATGATTGCGTACCATGGTCCTCAGTCCTTGGACAATGACGATAAATGTCAGTATTTTTTCGGAAATTAAGAAGTTATTGGATCAGGAAAATATTTTTTTTTATTTCTAAGCATACCTTGAAAAAGTTTATTTTTAATACTAATTTATACCTCTTTCAATAACAGCAAATAAGATATCCAAGAATGCTTTGAAGAGATGCTTCTAACTTTGAGGGAATTCCTCCCATTTCAAATGAATTTCTATCTATGTTCACTAGTATCTCTTAGTGAATTTAGCTTTATTACCTGAAATATTTAAAACAAAACAGTGAAATTTTTTTGTACTTTTTAAGTGCTACCTTGAAAACCTGCTCCCATGCTGAGCACATCACATCTCTATGTGTTGAAGATGTCCCAAATTCTGTAGTGTGGAATTAACACGAGTGAACAGTTTTCAGTAATATTTTACTGAACAGTTTTAAGAAATTGAATCATGCTAGATGGTTGTTGATAGTGTTTTAATGTAAGCTTGTTAGAAATTACATGAAAAACATTTTAGTTACAGCTGAGAGCAACGCACCATTTGGCACAGATCTTTCAGGACTTTGCCTTCTTTCAAAGGTCATTTCACAGTGCTTTTTTGCTTTGCTTATTTTTTGAAAGCAGGTTTTTGTTTTACATAAAATCAACACTGTTCCTTTAAAAAAATTCTTGGGTAAATTGTTATCAGATAGAAATGAATAAAGAGGAATCACTCTACATTTCTCTAAATATAATTCAATTTTTAATTCACTCTGAGCTTGTGAATCAGCTGATAGTTCAGAAGCCAGGTATAATTTAGTATGTTTCATTGAATGGGTATATCATGCAGCGTTAATTCCATCTGAGAGACAAAGCAAGTGCTTAATGTAATTCATACATCAGTACCTTCAATTATTTTAAATAACACACAGGGATTGCTGTCCCAAGGTCCAAAGCCAGATTTTTCTTTTCCTTATTAGCTGCTAGCTAGGATGATATTCTTAAAGCATGCTGATTTTGTAGGTCAGAGTCTACTTCTTGCTTTTCAAATGAATATGCATGAAAGAGATTGGCTTCTGTCCAATTCTCCTTCTCTTTCTCTCTCTCTTTCCCTCCTTTCTTTCCCCCCTCTCTCTCCCTCCTTCCCTTCCTTCCCCACCCACCCCCTTGTCTCAGTCTGAGGGAACTGGGAATTGCTGCTGAATAATTTTTGTCAAAAAGCCAAGAGTTAGTATGATGATATGCTATTATTTATGAGCAGAGTCTCACGCGGGCAAGCAGTAATTTACAGAGCTGACTTTTTCAGCTGTTTGAACCTATTGTGTTTCAATTGAAAAGAATTTTCATTAGGTCTTCACTTGTAAAGGGAAAGATCTATATAAGGAAATGATCAAAGTTTAATTTTCATTCTCACTAAGTGGCAGTGTAAGCCATTGAGTTTTTGTTTGTTTTTTTTGTTTGTTTGTTTTTGTACTTTAACAATAAGAAGCTTGGAAAGGAGTCTCAGAGAAAGTTTTGCTGCATTTCTAAATGTAATGAAAGTCATTCGGTTAAGGGAAATGCTGCCAGTGTGTACTTTGATTTCGTAGGCTTTAGAGTTCTCTATGATCTGTGAAGCAAAAAGTTCATTGAATTTCTTTACATTCTTGTACTGAATATATAATTTCACAAACTACCTTGGGCATAAAATATTCACACAAGGAATTGTAGATTCAAATTCTCAAAATGCATTTTAAATTAAGTTCAAATGTTGATACCTCATCTTTTTTCCTACAAGCTCAATTTGACCCAGTTTTCTGGTAGCCATTACTGCTTAGCCTGTGACGGCAGCTTTTCTGCTTCTATGTGGCTCTCAGAGAAACCCAGTGAGCTGGGAGGGCCTGTTGCCTCACAGAACTACAAAGGTGGGACAAATTTGAAGATAACCATGAGACCATCTTAATGTGACTTGCCTTACAAGTTACAAAAAGTGAGGCTATCACTGTTTTGTGAATAATGATTTTTATAAAATTTTTCCTTCATAATTTTCCCTGTCATCCATTTCACAAAATCTTGAATATGCAATTATTTATCATGACACATTACTGCAAATAGGGATCCCATTTCAGAATAAAGCTTAATTCTCTATGTGAGTAAGTTGTCATTGAAATGTGATTTTTTTTTCCTGGAAAATAAATGAAACTATGAAAATAAATTGAGCTGTAGACTTCTTTTTTATTGTCAGCCTCTTAAAATTTTACTTGCATCTCTGGAGAAGTTACACATTTTGGGGGAAGGGATGGTGGGCCAGAGGTCTGGCCAAGGTCAAGAGCTTTGGAATCACACAAATTTCAGGTTCATAATTTAACTAAAGATCTTAACCTGTTTTTCAACAATTCAGCATAACCTTATCTTTTAAAAAGATGGAGTAGCATGATCCCTGAATCATAGGGTCATTGAGCAGATTAAATAACATTTATCAGTCACTGGGCAGAGCTTATCTAGTTCGTGGCAGATATTCAATAAACCTTCCCTGGTCTTATCTTTCATCTTCCCTAACTCTGTGCTCTACTGAGTTCCCAAAACTAACCACAATGGGTGGCTGGTGGTCACCCCAGCTAATACTTTTCAAGGGCCCTACCCTAGGCTGGGGGTTTGTGGAGCCATTCAAGGGCTCCACACTGCCCAGTGCTCGGGATCTGTTTTGCTTGCTTTTAATAGGGAAAGCCAATATGGATGGAACAGGATGGTTGCTGAAGGGACAAAGGGATTCTGAATTATGGCAGATGGGTTCTCAACCCCAAACAGCCTCCATTTCAAGTCTTCTTAAACTTTAATACCCTGGGAAGTGTTAACCACTGAAGTTGCCTAACCCTGTAGGTACTAAGCAAGGATTAAGAACAAGTCTTGGTTTTCTAAATCTGTAAAGGACAAACGGTCCTTTCGTGACAGGGCTGTTGAGACAGCTGAATGAAACTGAACTATTGGACAGTGTCTGGCAACTGTAAGTTCTCAGTTACTCCTGTCATCAGAGCCTCACCTCCGGGCTGAGGGGGAGGGGGCAGTTTTATGCTCTCCAGTCTGAGGAATCCTCAGCAATTCCCACCTGCCCCTGATGAGAAAGGGAACAGGATGAGGGACTCTCAGGGCTACTTTTCAGTGCCAAATTGCACCAACTCCAGCACGCAGTGAGGCTTAGTGGCTCCCTGGGGCAGTCAGGATGAGCTCCTTTACATCTTCAAAGAGGCAGGGAGGACCACATAGCTGCCAAGTCCGGCTGGGGCGGGCCAAGGCGATGTTTGAAGAAGTCACCTTGGAGACCGACTGCGGAGTCCCGGGGGAGTGCAGGGCGCGGCAGCGGGCAGAGGGAGACCTGGGGAGCGAGGCCCAGGCTGCTCACTGTGCCAGCAGAGGACGATCCCAAGATCCTAGTGGCCCAGAGTCCAGGGGTGCACACTACCCCGGTCAACTGTAGGTAAGTGCGCCTCCCTCGGTGCCATTGTTTTGGGGAAAGGAGTTTGGGGAGGGAGCCGCCCTACCTTGGAAGGGGTCTGCCTTGGTCAGATCTCTCTGCTGCTTTTTAACTCCTCCACTCAACAAGCAAGAAAAAGTGACCCCAAATTTGGGAACTGGGCATGGGTCCTGGCCTTTGGCTCCCAGCCCGCCTGCATGGCTGGGCTTCAAGGAGATGCCCAAGGCAAAGGTGGCCAGCGCAGTACCTCCTGGATCCTGAGCAGCGGTTTCTGGGGCCAGCTGCCACTTTAGGAACCTCCAGGTTCCAATTCTGGCCTTTCTAGAGAGATTGTGGCCTGCAGAGCAGCTTTGGAAGCAGCTAAGGTGGCCGAGGTCTGTGTCTGTGACTTCGGAGCAGAAAGCGAATGACCTGCTTCAGCAGGCCGTGTGTCTGATCCGTGTTCACAGACGCCCTCCACCTCATGCACACGGGGACACACATGCGGCACACGCACACAGGTCATACAGGTGCTCACTGTCACACGCAGGCACACACGTGACACCTCTGCCCCATCCAGGGCCCTGTGCCTACCAGAGGGACCTTGGCGACAGGACCCTGGGTTTGAGGGCAGGCTCCCCGTCTTCCCTTCCCACTCACCCTCCTGCTCCTTGCTGCCGGGCACTGTGGAGTTAGTTCTGTTTTAATGTGTAGCGCAGAGTCTCCTTGTTGGGGTTCTCAGATGTACAGATTCTGAAATAATCTAAATGGATACCGAATGGGTAGGTAGGCAGAGAGGGCATTAGAGCTACAGTCCAAGTCCTGGAAAACCTATTGCTACCACCAGCTTTTTAACCAGCATTTGGGAAAAGGAGGTAGGTTTTTCAATAAATTACTACATTAAAAGTTAGCTGGGGGCGTGGCTTAAGTGTCCTGATTTCAAACCCCAGTACCACCAAAAACAACAACAACAACAACAAAATTAAGTCCTGTTTTCCCTGTAACAAAGTAAATTACTGTTGCTTGGGGTGGGGGGAAGAAGTCTTGGGAGAACAAGATTTTTTTTTTTATTTTGGCAGTGCTGGGGATTGAATCCATGGCCTTGCAAATACTAGGCAAGTGCTCCTAACACTGCGATCCCTGCCCTCAGTCCCTATTTGTTTTAAAGTAACTGTGAACAACAGCTATTAATTATCATTTATAATTAATAGTTTAATTATATTACAACTATTAACATTTATCAAGATTAAACATGGGGCAATAAAAATAATGGTTTCTGGTTTGGGTGGAACAGCATCTTTTTCTACACATAGCTAAGGCTAGTATTTTCTCAATTACTTTCTCCCTCTGCAATTAAACGTTTTTGCTACAGCTTAATATCTGCTTGTGTGAATTACTACACTATTGCATAAGTAAAATTTTTCAGGGTACCATTTTTCCGGTGATGCTGACCATAATGGTAACACACTATTGAGTGATCATACTATCACTCATGAGAGAACCTCATTGCCCCCTCTAGAAGGTATGTGTTCTTTAGTTGGATGAATCTCTATTGTACTAACTAAAAGGGTTTCAGATCTTTCTTTTGCTATTCCACAAAATTCTTCTTCTATCATAGAGTGTGATGATGTCAGCCACTGCTAAAGACAGAGCCACTCGCTCACCAAAGAAAAAAGAGAGTCTGTCCTCTCTAGGTAGTCATGAGTTCCGACGGAAGGAAATTCACGGACGCACCAAAGAGTGAGTAACCAGATGCCTAATGCCTTAAGTTATTGTATTATTCAGTCTATATATTTAGCAGGAGAAAAATAAACATTTCTTTAGGAATCTAAAAGGAGTGAAAATGGGCAAGACCCTTGTCTAGTTGGTCCTTGAGGGCCTTATTTAAGATAAGAGAGAAAGCTCAAGTGACATGTTGAATCTACCTGCAGTTTGACTACTTCCAAAACTTTCCAGAAAAGTCCTGTATTTGGAGAAATACTGCCTATGATGCAGACTAGCTACCCTTACAGGTTTCTTGAATTCTTCTCCTCCGTATTGTATAACTAGATAGTTTATACATCTTGGTAATCAATATATACATATACAGTACACTTCATATTTAATATGAAGTTTATACTACATTTTCATGGTCTTTGTCCTATTCTTCTAAATGACTGTATGATATTTTATGAGTTTATAATCTGTGTCAGTTAACCATCCTCAAATTACCAGGCATGTTCAGTGTGTTCCCACTTTTTTCTCTTTCACTATATACTAACTTTCTGCATGGCCATTTCTCAGCAGTATCTTTAGTAGGTCAAAATGCAATGAAGAGCATTCTTTGATTCTGGCTACATATTGCATTTGTTCCACTAAAGAGATGAATCCATTTTTAGTACTTTCATGGCATTCCGTTTTGCCTGCTATTGCTAAGAAACAAAACAAATTATCTAATGCTGTCGTCAATTAATTTATATCAGAGATGTTGCTTGTTGACGGTCTCCACGGCCTTGAAGGATGTGTGCATCAATCCTCGTGGCTGGGAAGCAGTTGCTGGTGTGCTTTGACTGCTGGTGACTAACTGGAATCATTGTTATTGAGAAACCAAAATCCTTCTTGCTAAGAGTGTATTCAGCTCTTCCTTGCAACTCCATCTTCCAGCTGGAAACTTATGAGTTACAAGTACAATTGCCCTCTTTTACAGATGGAAAACTGAGTAGAAAGCATATGTCAAAAGTAAAGGTGGGAGAATAATTAACGCTACAACTTTCACTTTTAGCCCTACCCCATTCTGGCTGATATTTCTAATCCTTAAGTATACAGTTGTTTTTAAAATATTTCATTCCAGGACAGTCAATACAGGCAGAATAATAATTGAAAACTGAGTCATAAAGAATTATTGTAAAATAATTATTAGCTTAAGTTCAACTTGATTGTTCCAAGAAACTATTAAAGTAAGAGTCTGATACAAATAATGTCCCCATGATTTTTAAAAATGCTGTCATTCAAAGACTAAAGTAGCATTCCTGTGTGCATAATTTTCATTTACTTCTTTCATTTCAAAAGCATTAGAAATCCATACATAGAATCAGCAGTTGGTCAAGCTGTAAGAACAAGGGCACACTCTTTTTTAACCTGTGAATCAGACGGTACAGGTGATGAGTCCTCAACTAGTAGAAAGATTCCAAAAGCTTAGACTTGTGGCTAATCCATGGAGGCGTCATGCACACATCTCTCACTTGAAAATTATTCCACAATGATCTTTGCAAAGATAATGTCAGGACAAAGCATGTCCTGAAGGATCTTATTTAATCTCCCCAGCATTAATCCTGCTAAGTTGACATTTCTTACTCTTTTGCTATGAAGGAATGGAGGCTTATAAGTCAAGTAGCTTGATGCAATGATTAGGATACTGTCCGAAATAGTGAGGATGGCGCTCAGGGGGCCACAAACACCTGCCTACTCCCATAGCACCACCTTCCCCATCATCCTGCTAGCATCTTACCAATCTCTCAGCCACTGTCCCATGCTGCTGCCCCATGTGTACCCCACTCCTTCCCTGTGGTGATCCTCTTAATACACTTCTGCCTTCCTTCTCTTCCTTCAGATTTTAGCCCCATCACCACCTCTCTAGGAAGCTCTCCAATGATCCAACCATGAGTGCCTCCACCTCCAAACTGAGTTGGAGGCTCTTTCTCTACTGCTGTTTCCCCTTCTACATGAGCCTGTATTTGGTGGTTTTCCCATCTATCTTTCTTAGTAGACTGTGGGCTTCCTTGCCTTTATCTCAGTAATCACAATGAGAAAGAGGGTAAAAAAGAGTAGAGGTGAACTTGTCAGAAAGCCCTTCCATCAGTGTCCACAGTCTTCTGCAGCTGTGACTAACATATCTCAGCCATAATAAATACCTGAAGTCCCTTCTGTAGTGTGAAAGATTGAACTTACAATCAACTGTTTTCAGGATGGGTCTGTTTTGTTAAAGTTATGTTTTTATTATACTGCAAATTTTATGTTTCATTAAAGAAAAATAGCTTTCTTTCTTTCTTTTTTTTTTACATTTTTTGAGGTAGGGTCTCGTTACGTTGCCCAAGCTGGCCTTGAACTTGCAATCTGAGTACCTGGTATTACAAGTGTGCACCACCATGCCCAGCAAAAGGAAGCATCTTAAGTTGGACTTCCTTATTCTAAAATCATACCTATTGGCATGTTGGAATGTTTCTTTCTACCCTCACATGGTTGTCCTCAACCTTCATCTGTAATTTGAACTTTGTTTTTAATTAAATGATTTATCATAATAGGAATGGTAATAGCTAACACTTATCAAGTCCTGACTATAGCTTCTATAGTCAAATTATGATCAAGTGTAGTCTGACTCCAGTCTTGGTAGGTTCCCCCAGTGAAAATTATAATAAATTCAAATTCCATGGTCCATAAATAAAGTTTATTGGCACACAGCCATGCCTGCTTATTTATGCATTGTCTCTGGCTGTGTTCACACTGGTGGAGCTGTGTAATAGCACCAGGAATCATAGGGCTGGCAAGGTAAAAATACCTGCTGTTTGGTGTCTTTGGTGTTGCCGTCTTGGACTCTGTAAAGATAGGTGCTATTCTCACCCCACTTTACAAGTGAAGAAATAGAAGCTATGGTAAGCTGGGCTCCAGAGCTATAGAAGTAGCCAGTATCAAAACAGGCTTCTGTTTTTCAGTCAAGTATTTTTACTCTCTGCAAACTGCCAACCCATGTGTAAGTTGCATGAATGAAACTATTCTCTTTATTCACTAGAACCTTCTGCTTCCCTACCATGAATTGGAGCAGGTGTTTACAACAACATCTTTCTTGCTGGAAGCTCAGCCTGTGGGTGGTGAGCAGTATTTGAACAATGTGCTTCTCACCTATTCTTAAGATGGATACAGGAGCCAGGAGGTCAAGTTACTTTCCCAGGATGATATGGCAGGACATCCAGACTCATTGTCTCTGAGGCCAGTAACCCACTAGTAGGTCAGGGTGAAGATTTGGGACTGAAGAGTCTCTCTTTTGCCTCAAACCAAAGTTCCAGTGGTTCCAAGTAACTACAACTTTCCCCATGGACCCCACCCCTCTTCAGTGGACTCTACAGATGGCGTCTAATGTAGTAGGTCGGCACACTACACTTTTCCACTTATTTATTCAATGTTTAGTAAGTTTCTCCTATGTGCCACACGTTAGGCACGCGAAGATGAATAACTGTAGGTTCTAACCCACGAAGCCTTTTGTCCTGTAAACTGAGGGTCATCTGGCTTCTCCTTTTCATAGTAAGCTAGGTCTCTCAATAAATGCAACCAAATTGAAAAGGACTGTGTTCATGATTTCATTTGCAATAATTATGAACCCTACTCTCACAAACTTTGTAATCTGATGGGGAAGACAATGGACAATAATTTAAATATGATGAACTTGGTCTATGAGTTCAACCTGTGAGAAGCTCATGGGCAATTGAACATGATGTTGCCAGGCCTACTCCCTCATTTGGATACCCAAGAGATAAGGTTAGAGGTAGCAGATCAGAGCTAGAGGCTAAGTGATACTGCCATCTAGAAGAAATTAAAGTCCCAACAAGATCTGATTTGTTTTCCCCACAAAGGAAGCAAAGCTTGGGAAACTGAAATGGCCATGTTTCCAAATTAAACCACAGTAATAGCTAGTATTATACTTCACAGGTGATTAAGCCATTTTCTACACAGTATTCCTGTGCTGCTTATAAGAACCTTGTAAGTCAAACAGAGAAGATATTTATAGTATCTCCCATTTATCTATATAAATGGAGAAATGATGGGTTTCCTGATGGATTATGCTGGGAGAAAACTGGCTCACTGTCTACAAGAAAGTGAAGATGGTCTTTTACCTTAACCCATTTGCATAAATGGACTCGAGATGGAAGATTACATTGTAGAAATCTATAAAGCCAAAGAGGAAAGAAAAGGAAATTGGCCTGTGTTCCAGGAGTAAGAAAAAATATCTTAAGTATGAAAGCCCAAACTATCAAGCAAAACACTGATAAGTTTAACTAGAATAAAACATAGCGTTTCTGTTTAAAAAGGGATACAGTAGACACTGATAGAAGGTGTATATATTGCTAAAAATCTTGCATGCTAACAATAAAAAGGAAAATTAATTTTAAACATAGTCAAAAGAGACATCAGTGTTCAGAAACAAAGCCCAAGGGCTAGGCAGAATGGGATCATATGTTTGTGTGCATTTGAAACCAGAAAACTGTAAATTAGAACAAGGTACCATACTGTACCCACTCTAAGGGAAAGACAGAGAATGGAGGGTGATCCCACACATTTGCAAGGCAAGTGAGAATAAAAAATGATCTAGCTATTTAGCAAAGAAATCTAACAGTATTTAGAGTGCTTGCGTGTGTGTGTGTGTGTGTGTGTGTGTTCTACAGGCTCTGCTTTATTAGAGTAAAAGTCAGTTTTCACAACGTCCCACAAAACCTACCATGATCAGCCACCTGAAAATTTTGCAACTCATGTTTTGTTCTAGCTGCTCTGGTCTCTATACATTTTCTCAAACACATCAAGCAACCTCCTGCCTCAAAGCCTTGGCATGTGCCTTTCTCTGTCCCTACATCTTCCTCACCCATCCACATGGATCATTTCCTCTTTAATTCTTTGCTTACTTAAACTTGCACTCAGCACCCTCTGTCCTTCACCACTTGAAACCCCCTTAACTGTTCTACCTTTCCTTTTCTCCATAGCAGTTATCTCCTTGT